ATAGCCTCATATGCATGTGAAAGGTGGACAATGAATAAAGAAGACTGAAGAAGAGTTAATATGTTTGAATTGTGGTGTTGGCGAAGAATACTAAAAATACCATGGACTGCCAGAAGAACGAACAAATCTGTCCTGCAAGTAGTGCAGCCAGAATGCTCCTTAGAAGTGAGAGTGGCCAGATTTTGTCTCACCCGCTTTGGTCATGTTGTCAGAAGGGACTATTCCTTGGAGAAAAATATCATGCTTGGTAAAGTAGAGGGTCAGCAAAAAATGGAAGACACTCAACAAGATGGATTGACCCAGAGGCTACAACAATGGGCTCAGGATTGTGAGGATCGCACAGGATCAGACAGTGTTTCATTTTGCTGTACAAAGGGTAACTATGAGTTAGAGCCAACTTGATGGCACCTAACAACAACTGCCATCAATACTAGTATTGTTGCCCATTATTTTTATGCTCAAATGAGAACAACAGGGAGACAGGTAATAGAAAGGCAGGCCAGTTCCTTCTCTGTCTTTGCCTTCCCACCCTGAGCTCTGAGCTGGGGTCAGTTTTTGTCCAAAGGAGGAAGGCATGGTTTCCATTATAAAGCCAGGTCACCTCTGAGCATGTAGGAGGGCAGAGGCGAGGCAAATGGGAGGAGGCGGCAGCAGAGCAGAGAGGAAACAGGGCATTCTGATGAAGCCTTCTGTGACGGTTAATGTTATGTGCCCACTTGGTGAAGCTGTGGTTCCCAGTGGTTTGGCCAAACACTAGTCTAGCTGCTGTCATGAAGGAGCTACATGTGACTGAATCAATTGGCCTTGGGTATACCGAGCAGATTACCTTTCAGATGTGATGTGATATAATGACCTTCCATAATGTAATATAATGCCATCCTGCAATGCAATCTGATGTAATCACCTTCCATAATGTAATCTAATCTAATGGGATCAATCAGTTGAGGTCATACTAATGTAGGGTCAATCCTAAATCTAATCTTTTCTCAGTTATAAAAAGACCAGACTACACACACAGCCTCACACACAGGTGAAGACACACAACACGTGAGGATTGTCTACAAGAAAGGGAATGCCAAGGACTGTCAGCAATCATCAGAAACGAGGAGAGGGGCTCACAGAGGGATGGACATGGCGACACCCTATTTGGACATTTTGCTTCCAGCTAATGAGCTAATAAACTGATGTTCTTAAAGCCACCCACTGTGATATTTGTAGCTCTAGGTAACTAAGGCACTTTCCCTCTCCCAATCCTCCCAATGGGCTCCAGACAGCATGGCAGGTGAGCAGTTCTCTAAAAGTATTTCAAGCCCCAGTACCCAAGGGGAAAGTGAGGCTGAGCAGGGCATAGAGGCAGGGAGGGAAGGAAGAGGCTGGCTTAGCCTGGGGGGGCCTGTGCTCACCCTGACAGAGGCGGGTGTCCTCATTCAGGTGATATCCGGGTGGGCACTCGCACTGGAAGCTGCCGAAGGTGTTCACACAGTTGCCTCCCTGGCAGAGGCCTGGAAGCTCCTGGCACTCGTCAATATCTGCCAGGAAGTGAGGTGGCCATGACTGGAGGCTACACCCAAGCAGAGGACTCAGGGGACACCCATACCCGACCCTGTACTCTTGAGGGTCCCACAGGAGCCTAAGGGCTATCCCATAGCTGTTAGGCATTTGGAGGGTTTGGGTCAGGGTTTCCCTTGAAAGCTGGACCCACTTTGTTGAGTCACTGTCACCCTGAATTCATCCCCTTCCCCCCTCATTGGATAGTTAACCATCTATCACAGTTCCCTGTGGTTGAAATATCTTCTCCAATCGCATTATTTCCTGTGGATAGAAGGATGGATGGATGAATGAGTGGATGGATAGGTAGATGGATGGATGACTGGATGGATGGATGGATGGATGGATATGAAAAGTAGTGGATAAATGAATAAGCAAGTGTGTGAATGGAGAAGATAAATGCGTGGATGGCTGGGTGAGTGGATATTAAAAGTCATGGATGGATAAATGAGCAAGTGGGTGAATGGAGGGGAAGATAAATGAGTAGATGGATGGACAGGTGGGTGGAAGAAGAATGGATCAATAAACCAACAAGTAGAAAACGAGTTGGCGGAAAGAACAGACAAAAAGCTCACTACAAATTTAAAACATAGTCCAATCCTGCTACCTGGCCCCAGACAGGAGGATCTTGGCCCCAACAAACTACCCAATCCTGCACTGTGGTGATGAGAGAAAGGTGAGGGATGAGAGAAGGCCAATGAGTGTGTGGACAGATGGATGACCTGCCAGAACTCACCTTCCAGAATGACGGTGATGGGGTTGGGCCGGAAGCCCTCACCACCAGGGCACAGGGTTCTGTACTCAGCTGCAAGAGAAGCAAGCTTTTGTGAAGGGCTGGAGCTCTGGTGGCACAGTGCCTAAGGCATTTGACCGCTAACCAGAAGGCTAGCGGTTCAAATGCACCAGTCACTCCTCGGAAGGAAGATGGGGCAATCTACTTCCCTACAGATACTGCCTTAGAAAACCAAGGAGGGGTTGCTATGTGTCAGGACCAACTCAACGGCAGTGAGGGTTTTTTTTTTTTTTGGTGTGGTGGGGTCTCTGGACATAGCCTAGGGGAAGGAGGTGATGGGAGGGCCCCACATCCCTCTACTGCACCTGTTATATCCTCATCCTTCCCCACTTATCTCCTTGGCCTCTTGGGACCAGGAGACCTTGCTCAGTCCTGGGGCTGCCTGGGGAGCCAGTATCTGTGTGTGTGTATGTGTAATCAAGCACTCACATCCAGCCTCTGAACAGATGGATCATGTGGTAGTGGCTAAGAGTGGAAGGGGCAGGGTGATTCCCTCTGATCCAAAACTAGACCCTAGTGTGATTTGAAGCTTCCCCATGAAAGGAGAACCCAGACACTCACACATGTGGACTCCTGAATAGGTAAGCAAGTGCCTCCTTGTTTCATATCTGGGCTTTGCATATGCTGTTCCCACTGTACTGTATACACCCTTCCCCCTACTTCCTGGAAAGCTCCTATTCATCCTTCAAAACCCTCTTCCTGTGGCACCCTCCTTTTCATGGCTTTCTCCTCAAACAGACCCACAAGAGACTCCACCCTCACACTCCTGGAACTGTTGGTTTATGGGTGAACTACACTGCGCAGAGGCTGTGGCTCGTCCTTCTCGGGGTGCCCAGCTCCTAGCACACATGGCATGTTTGTTGACTGACTGAGTGAGTGAGTGACACACAAACACACAGAGAAGAATCTGCAGAAAAGATCCTGGAGAGGAGTCAGACAACCTGAGAGAATGTGCTGTGTGACCCAGGAAGAGCCTCTCTTCCTCCCTTAGTGTCCCGTCACCAAAGCCCCAGCCCACAGACATGACCCCTACCACATTCTCCCCACAAGGACTCACTGGCGTTGGCCATTGGACACAGCTCGCAGGGGTTGCCCCAGGCTCGGCCCAAGGAGCAACAGCAGGAGGCTCGGGCGACGCCAACCCCTATCTCAGCACCGCAGGAAAGGCCCCCATCCCCTCGGTCGTGCGTGTCCAGGAAGCAGTTCCCAACCCGGGTGTCTAAGTAGCAGAAGGGGGCGGAGGGAAACAGTGCGTGTGACTCAGGGTGCATGACTGTGTGCACGTGCTTCTCTGTGTGTGACTGCATGCACGTGTGTGACTGTACATGTGACTATGTGCATGTGTGTGACTGTGTGTGTGCATGTGCTTCTCTGTGTGACTTTGGGCATATGTGACTGAGTGGGTCTCAGTGCACATGTGCCTATGTGTAACTGTGTACATGTGACTGTGTGTGCATGTATGTGATTTTGTGGCTGTGCATGCAACTGCATGGGTGTGACTATGCATGCATGTGACTCTGTGTGCATGGCACCCGGGTATTTCTGAACACATGGACAAGGGAACGCACACAGGGAGTAGTCAGGGAAGATGGGTATGTGTTTCAGGGGCAGAAGGTGTATTTGAACAGGGGGCAGGGACAACCACTCTGGCTGGGGCCAGCAGAAGTCCTGTTTGTCAGGAGCAGGTGAGTCCTTCCCAGCTCCACCTGACCCCAGAGCCCCAGCCTGGAACTGAGAAGGGACTCACCCACACAGCCCACCCCGCTGGGGTTCAGCTCGAAGTCTGGGGGGCAGTTGCAGAGGTAGCTGCCAGGAGTGTTGACACACAGGCCGTTGATGCAGTTCACGGGGTCTGCACACTCGTTGACATCTGGTAGAGCACTGTTAGCTGGAACCCTTCCTCGGCCCTCTTCCCTCCTCACTCAACAAGATCAAGCCCAAGAGGACAGGACCCTCCGGAATCCTCCCTGCACTTGGCCAACCCCATCCTCCCCCCAACTCCATTCCACTTGGCATGGGGGTTTGCACCTTAACAGCCTTCCCTGCCCCAGGTTCCAGAGGCCCAGCCTATAAAACCAATGTTTAGAAAATGCTTCTAAACCCAGGATCAGTAAACCACGACCCACGGGCCAAATCCAGCCCACCACTTGATTCTGTTGATAAAGTTTTATTGGCATGCAATCACACCAATTCATTTATGTATTGTCTATGGCTGGTTCTGACGTACAGCATCTCAGTTGAACAGTTGTGGCCCTGAAAACTGAAAATATTTAGTCTCAGGCCCTTTAGAGAGGAAGTTTGAAATGGGCAGGTGGGAGACCACCATGGACCACAGCAGAGTCCACGGGTGGAGCAAATGGTGTTGCTCTGCTGACCAAAAGGCTGGGGGTTCGAGTCCACTTGGGGCACCTTGAAAGAAAAGCCTGTTGATCTACTTCTGAAAACGCAGCCATTGAAAACCCAACAGGGCACAGTTCCACCCTGACACACACGAGGTCACCCGGAGTCACAACTGACTTGGTGGCAACTGTTTACTAGTGGGGGAGGGGCACACTTTCATTCATTCTATGACATCTTTTCAGGTGATGGTAAGAGACAAGCAAACCAGGTAATAGCAATGGTGGGTGGGGGGTGGCATAGGTCAGGGAAGGCCTCCCTAGGGGGCGACATGTGAGAAGAGCTCTGAGGACAGGAAGAGAGGAGCTGTGCCCCACCCCCACTCCTTCACCCTACCACCTGCCGGCCCCACACCTGTGCAGTTGCCACCACCTCGGTCCAGCTCATAGCCGTCATCACAGATGCAGCGGAACATTCCGGGCAGGTTCTCGCAGCTCCCGAACACACAGAGGTTCCCGAAAGCACACTCATCCATGTCTGCGGGGACCCCAGGTCAGTCTGCTGTGCCTGCAGCCTGCCTCTGCCCGCCCATCCCACCCCGCTGGCCCACTCCTCACCCTGGCAGGCCTGGTGGTCCTTGGTGGGGTGGAAGCCCATCTCACACTCACAGCGGTACCCACCAGGGGCATTGAGGCACTGCCCGTTCTCACAGAGGTTCATGTTGTCTGCGCACTCATCCCTGTCTGAGGGGCCCCAGGAGGTGGAGGGCTGTGATCAGCTGGACCAGGACCCACACAGGGTGGGCAGTGGGCCCCAAGAACCCTTCCCCATCATCCTGGTGTCAGAGAGTGGGCAGGCAGCCCTGGGCACTCAGACCCCCTTCCAGTGGGCAGGTGATAGTCAGGGACCCAGGGAGCAGACAGGTGGTCCTGGCCACTCCAGGTCTCAAGGAGCAAATGGGGGGTCCTGCCTGCTCCAACTCCAGCCAGTGGCCAGACAGGGGAGCAGGTCACTCAGGGAAGCCCTGGCCATTCTGATGACTGGGAAGTCACACTTCCTGCTCCCCACACCCAGAAGACTCCAGGCATCTAGAGTCCAGGGGGAAGACAGCCCCAGAGGCTCGGCACTGGGCCTGACCCTGTGGGCTGCATTCTCTCCAGCACCACAGGGAGGTAGCTGAGTGAGGGCGAGTCCCTCTGGGCCCATCCCCCCTGCCCTGGTCTCACCATCACAGGAGAAGCCGTCCCCGGCGAAGCCCTCGTGGCAGGTGCAGCGGTAGGAGCCAGGGGTGTTGAGGCAGGCAGCATGCGGGCTGCACCGATGCCCCTGGAAGGCACATTCATCCAGATCTGCGGGAGATTGGGCCCAGAGCCCAGCAGGTGGGTGCATCAGGAGGCTGCAGGGATGATGACCTGCCCGGCCCAGCACCACTGCTGGCAGACCCCGCTATGCCCACCACCCTCCCACCTCCTCGGCTCTGCCCACAATCCTGTCCCAGGTACTCACCATGGCATGTGAAGCCATCCCCCACCCAGCCTGGCTGGCACCTGCAGCTGAAGCTCCCAGGGACGTTGAGACAGGAGGCGTGACTGTCACAGCTATGTCTCCCCAGCTCACACTCGTCCACGTCTAAGGGGAGAGGGACAGCGCAGTGGGGAGACCTGTCACAGGAGGGGCAGGACCAGGGCAGGGGGTGGGAGGACACTCAGCACTCCCATGAGTCCTGGGTCTAGAAGAAATAAGGCTTCAGGTAGAGATGATGAGGCTTGGTACAGTGACAGTGGGAAGAATAAGGACTCTCCCTAGCAGGATGCTGACCCAGAGAGCCCCCCACCGCACTTTGGGAGCCCAGGAACAATATAAAAAAAAACCCAACAGCCTTCAGGAAATGGTTTGAAATGACAGCATGAGAGACTTAGGGTAGACAATGAGAGGAACTGTCTTAACGCACCCCCCTCTAAACCAGAGCTTCTAAATCCCAAGTCAACTCTATGCCACCCCTACAGCTTCTGCAATGTTCATATACTACTTAAGTGAGCTATTTACTGATAATTCATTTAAACTGGTTTTATATATATATATAAAAAAAAGAATAGAAAAGAACATTTTCTATCAACAGCTACGATATTGCAGAAGTCAAGGGTCTGCCATGCAAACTTTATCTCCAGTCCACATTAAAATAACTGTCACATTTTAAAACATTCTTCCTGGGTCACTTAAAATCAGCAAGCTTGCAAGTCCCTGGGTGGTGCAAATGGTTAATGGGCTTGGCTGCTAACTGTAAGATTAGTGCTTCAAGTTCACCGACAGGAGCCTCGGAAGAAAGGTCAGGTGATCTACTTCCGAAAAACCCTCCCCTGACAAGCCTCTGGAGTACAGTTCTGATCTGACACATTTGGGTGGCCACCAATCCGCTGCAGGTGCTCCACAGTGCCCCCTGCCGAGTTGTTAGCAATGGGGAGCCTGCTTCCCTTTGTTATGTGCCATCCAGTCAGACCCGACTCATAGCGACCCCTCCTTGGGTTTCCGAGGCAGTATCACTATGGAAGATGATTGCCCAACCTTCCTTCCAAAGAGTGGCTGGTGGGTTTGAACCGCCAGCCTTCTGGTTAGCAGTCAAGTGCCTTAGGCACTACACTACCAGAGCTTCCCTGCTTCCCCTAGAAAAATTAAACCAGTTGCTGTGGAGTCAACCCCAACTTATGGCAGGCCCGTGTGGGTCTGAGTACAAACTGTGCTCCACAGGCTTTTCAAGGCTGACTGCCAGGACTTTCTTCTGAGATGCCTCTGGGTGGGTTCAAACCCATAACCTTTAGTTAGTAGTCAGGCACTTAACTGCTGGCACCCCAGGGGACAAGGGGGTCCTCAGGGGTATTTCTCGGGTCCCTCTAAGTCGAGGCGCCATCCATGGACCCCTACAGTATCTGGCCATGCTCCGACTCCAGGGGCGGAGGGCCGACGCCATGCGCTCAGAGCTGGCCCCTCAGGGCCTGTGCACCTGCACGGTGGACACCAGCCAGCTCACCAGAACAGCCCATGGCTCCCTTCCTGATGATGTAGCCTGGCTGGCAGTGGCAGATGAAGGAGCCCTTCGTGTTCTCACAGTCCCCCTGGAGGCAGACGTGGGGGTTCAGGTCACACTCGTTCACATCTGTGGGGGGAAGAGGGCAAGTGGGAGAGGGCTTGATGCTGAGGTGAAGGGGCCGGAGTGGTGGGGGCAGGAGGGAGGTATCAGCCTTGTTGAGTGTCCTGGTCCCACAAAGTCTTCTCCTGAGGTTCTATGGTCCTGGTGGAGGGCAGCTCCCTCAGTCCCACCTCTGGGCAGCTGTGAGGATCATATCAGCCTACCACAGAGCATGCACAAGGTGTATGTTCCAGAAAGGACTTTACGGTCAAATGAGTTTACACAACACTGGGTTAAACCAAGCTAATCAGGCTTTTTACTGCAGGACTTGTCAGAGCCTTGATGCCTATATATCTAGTGAAACTACAGGATGGGTGTGGACTGGATGGCTAGATGGCATTTCCTTAATGTGTGCAGTCACAGGGTCCTTCTGCTTCTGGAGACCACTGCGAGCTGGAACTCCCTGTGGCACACTGCCTGGACAATTCTTCACAGGAAGTTAAAAATCTGATTTCCTAATCTCAGGTTAAGGAGCTCTGGTGGCATAGTGGGTAAAGCATTTGGCTGCTAACAAGAAGGTCGGCAGTTCAAACCCCCCAGCTTCTCCAGGAAGATGAGACAATCTACTTCCACAAAGATTTGCAACCTTGGAAACCCAGTGGGGATCGCTACGAGTTGGAATCGACTCAATGGCAGTGGTTTTTTTTTTTTGAGTCTCAGGTCAAGGAACTCTGGTGGTGTAGTAGTTAAGGTATTTGACTGCTAACCAAAAGGTTAGTGGTTCATACCCACCAGCCGCTCTGCTGAAGAAAGATGAGGCAGGCTAGTTCTGTAAAGGTTTACAACCTTGGAAACCCAATGGAGGTCATTATGAGTTGGAATTGACTCAATGGCACAGTGAGTTTGGTTTCTGGTTTGAGTCTCAGGTCTGCTCTGATGGGTCAGTCAAGATACATCAGTTGCCCAGGCCCCTGTGATGACCTGCCCCCAGGTGAGAAGGGGCAACCACCCACAATGCCTGTCTGTGATGACCTGCCCCCAGATGAGGATGGTGCCCACCAGCCCAAGTAGCCTGGGATCTTCAAGCAGACCTCAGAGAACATGGTTCCAAGTCTCTTTCCCACTGTGCCTGGGCTCCACTGGACAGATACCTCCTCCTCCCCCCGTGCCCAGGTAGTGGGAAGGGACATAGAACCCCTTTTTCTGCACTGATCTTTGGTGCAGCCCTGGCACAGGGACAACCCTCCCACACGCACAGTCACGGTGTGTGCTCGGGATGAACTGAATGGATCTTAGCCCCTATTGAGGTCTTAGACCCTGTGACTGCACACGGGACCTTGTTTGAGAAAATAGGGGCTTTCTTAGACATTATCAGTTAGGTTTGTGTGTGGTCGTGCAGAGCAAGTGTCTCCTAATCCTTTCTAAGTGGCATCTTATGAAAGAGAAGACTGGACATGGAGAAGGAGAGGGAAATTGCCATGTAAACCCAAAAAACATCAAAGATTGTCAGCAACCACCAGGAGCTGGTAGAGGCAGGAAGCGTTCCCCCCTCAGAGGCCCCTGGAGGGATCAATGATGCCTATCCTCTGGTTTGGACTCCCAACCTCCAGAACTGTGAGACAGCAAATGTTTGCTTGGTAAAGCTCCCATTCTGTGCATGTTGTTAGGGCAGTCTTCGGAAACTCACGCAAGCGTCAATAACCTCAGTGGAAGGGAAGAGGTGTGGGCAGTGCCACGTCTATGAATGAGATCCCGTGGGATTTGGGGTATGGGCTCAGGATCTCAATGGCCCTCAGAGCTGACAGCCAGCCAGATACCCAAAGACGTGTCCAAGTGCTGTTGGTGTCTGTCTGTCCTCCCAGGAGGCAGGCCTAGGTGTGAGCTACGGCGCTGCCTCCCCAGCTCCCCATCCGGTCCTCACCAGCACATGTGCTCAGGTCCAGCGTGGCCACAAAGCCGTCATAGCACAGGCAGCGGTGACTGCCTGGCACGTTGGAGCACTGGCCCCCGTGACAGATGTCTGGGTCCTCTTCACACTCATCCACGTCTGGGGAGCAGGAACAGGAGCTGGGTGCAGGTGGGCGTGGATGGAGGGAGAGCCCCAGATCCCTTCCACAGGCCCAGTGGGGGTGCCAGGTCTGTAGTTTGGGCATCGCGAGGCTTGGTTGGGGCCCAGGGTCTGCTTCCTCCTGTCCCCTGTCCCAGGTGGTAGGAGGGGGCTGTGCCCACCCACCTGCACATGCCCTCCCATCGGGCATCAGTGAGTAGCCCTGGCCACAGCTGCACTGGTAGCTGCCCTTGGTGTTGATGCAGCTCCCGTCACACCCACCGTTTCCCGTGTCGCATTCGTTGATGTCTGCAGGGGGCAGGTGGGGATGGAGGGCTGTGGCTGTGTTGGGCTGATTTGGGGGTGGGGTGGGGTCGGGTAATGCAGTCTCACCCACGCAGCCCTGGCGGTCGGGCGAGCTCTGGAAGCCAGTGTGGCAGGCACACTGGAAGGCTCCAATGAGGTTGATGCACCGGCCGTGGGGGCACAGGCCGGGCTGCAGGGCGCACTCATCAACATCTGTGGGGACGGGCAAGGGGGCCAAAGGCAGGCAAGTCTGCTCCCCCATCTGCCCTCTGTGTGTCCACAAGAGCTACTCAGACCACCCACAAGAATGCCCACCCATGGGCGTTTGTGCACGTGCTCACAATCATACCTTCCACCCACTCCCCCTGTGCACACACACCCACCCTGATGCCTGATGCACAGTCACACCCTCCACCCACTCCTCGTGCACATGTTCACCCAGATGCTCACAATCACACTCCCCACCCACTCTCCCTGTGCACACACACTCACCCAGATGCACACAATCACACTCCCCACCCACTCCCCTGAATGCTCACCTATGCACACGTGCATTCACACCAGATATACCCTTACCCTCCAATCACTCCCCATGAACGTTCATCTGCACACAAACATACCCCCAGATACACACTCACAATCACATCCCTCACCTGGTCCCATGCAAACATTCACCTGTGTACACACATATTCACACCTGAATACACACAATCACACCCTCTACCTCCTCCAACACAGACACTCGCTTGTGTACACACACTGATACCTGGATACACAATCACACGTTCCACCTACTCCCCATGACCACTCACCTGTGTACACACACTCACACTCAAATATACACTCACTCTCCACCCACTCCCTATGAACGCTCGCCTGTGTACACACGCACTCACACCCAGATACACACAATCACACCCTCTACCTGCTCCCACACAGACATGTGGTTGTGTACACATGCACTCAGACCCAGAGACACACTCAAATCCACATGCGCAGACACATACAAACACACCCTCCACCCACTCCCATGTGAACACATTTACCCTGTGAGACACACATTCACACCCAAGTACACACACCTCCATAAATGGACTCACATACAAACACCCAGTCACATATAAACACACGTGTTCTTGTGTCGTCACATACTTTACACACACAGAGATTCATACAAACACCTTGAACACACTCCGATATGAACACACTCACCCTGTGTAGACCCACACTCACACCCAGGGACACATTCCCATCCTCCTGCATGCTCCCACAGACTCACAAACACACTTTACACCCACTCACATGAAAATACACCTGCACGCATGCTGGTGCACACTCACACACTCTGTAGACACGCATTCACACCCACTTCCATATTTTGCTCCCATACAGTCCCACTTCACACATACAAACAGACCCACATGCCCACATGCTCTTCCATTTGCACACTCCCACACAGACACATTCCATGACCACACACATGCAACTGCTTAGATACACACCAACCCTTGCAATCTCACACCCAGGTATGTATTCACACCAGACACACAACTACACATCCCCACCTTCATGCCCACCACTTGCACGCTCCCACCGTGTGCACACTGCTACATGCTCACCCTCACAGACAGTGCCCTCAGCCGCCAGCTCGTGTCCAGGGGGACAGTGGCACCGGTAGCTCCCATCCGTGTTGGTGCAGCTGCCGCCCCGGCAGAGCAGTGAATCTCGTGCACACTCGTCCACGTCTGGGCGTGTGGGCAGAGAGAACAGGGGTGAAGACACCGACCCTCCAGGGGTGGGGTGATGTGGGTTCTGGAAGCTTCCTTCCCCCAAAGAAACCAGGAGAGTCTAGAGGCTCAGGGTCTGGCCAACTCAGAGAGCCAAGTCTGAGTTGGGAGGAGCAGGGAGAGGACAGAGGGGAGTAGGAATTCTCAGGAGAGTCAGGCTGTGAGGCTGGCAGCCCTGCTGTGACTGAGGAGGCCCTGGGGGGTCCTCACCAAGGCTCCGTCAGGTGTTGGGGCAGGGAGCAGCCAGTGGTGTCTCCTTCTATCCCCAGGGTCACCCCAGGGCCTTTGCACACACTTGACTCTCCTCAGAACAGCTCCTTCCATCCTTCCATCTTCCACCTCAGGGCCTTTGCATATGCTATTCCCTCCCCAGGGCTGCTCTTTCTGCCCTTCTTCACCTCATTGGTCCCATTCTCCTCAGTCACCTCCTCAAGACCCACAGAATGCGACATGGACCCTGGTCCACACTCCCACAAACCACATGGTGCTCTTGAATGGTTCTGACAGAGGCAACTCCCTATTTCTCTGAGGATGCATTTTAGCACCACCTGTCTCCCCGACTAAGGATCTGTGGTGGTGTAGTGGTTAAAGTATTCAGCTGCTCACTAAAATGTTGTCAGTCAAACCACCAGCTACTCCTTGGAAGAAAGAAAGTCTGCTTCTATAAAGATGTATACATAGCCTTGGAAATCCTCTGGGGCTGTCCTATAGGGTCACTATGGGTTGGAATCAACTTGAAGTAGGTTTGGCTTAGTTTTGTGGTCTCCCCCACTAGGCTCTGAGCACCAAGAATATGGAGGCCTGCCTCTTGAGCTCTTGGTGGAGTCTAAGGTCAGTCGATGCACATAAAATGTTTGTCAAATGAATTTAAAAAACGTAGTTTAGCCTAATTAGGAAAAGAATTTCTGTAAACCATTATGCTCTTTTATAAACTAAAAATCGGGTCAATTCCAACTCATAGTGACCCCCTTTGGGTTTCTGAGGTGGTAAATCATTACGGAAATAGATTGCCCAGTCACTCTTCCACAGAGTGGCTGGTGGGTTTGAACTGCCAACCTTCTGGTTAGCAGTCAAATGCCTTAGCCACTATGCCATCAGACTTGCTTATGCTCTTTTATGTTGTTGTTATGTGCAGTGGGATCGGACCCGACTCATAGCAACCATTCCTTGAGTTTCCAAGGCAGTATCACTACGGAAGTATCCTTCCTTCCCAGGAGTGGCTGGTGGGTTTGAACCGCCAGCCTTCTGGTTAGCAGTCAAGTGCCTTAGGCATTACGCTACCAGAGCTCCCATGCACTTTTATAGAATTATCTACATGTGATGAAACTGACAACAGCAACTTGAAAAGACAGATAGAAGGTTGGGGCTGTCCATCAGTTTGTGTGAATGATGGTGAAATAGTTTGGAAAAAGTTGCCAAGGAAGGTGGTAAAACTTGGAAGAATGTAACAAATATCACTAAGTGTACATGTACAAATTGTTGACCTGGTGTATGTGCTGTTGGGTATATATTCACATTCCCCCAAAATTAATTAATTAAAAAAATGAATAAAAAAGTGAATGATGGGGTGTGAGAGGCCCCTTAAATGCCAGCGTTTTCCAGGCACCTAAAACTCCGCTAGCTCTCTCCTCTTCCCGCACAATCTTCACGGGAGACCCTGCCCACCCGCAATGGTCCACCAGGGCCACTCCCTGGTCTTGGTCCCTAGACCTTCCTCCTGAGCGCCAGACCCGGCGGATGACTCCCCACAGCCCAGACTGGCTGAGACGCAGCTGCACCAGACTCTCCCACATCTGCCCCTCCTCCTCCGTCTATCACAGCAACCTCCCCATCCTCCCCTGCCCCAGACGCCACAGGCGTCCCCTGCTCCCCTGCGGGCTCCTACCCATGCAGTTCTTCATCAGCATGAAGTTGCTCTCGAACCCCGGGAAACACCTGCACTCGAAGCTGCCAGGGGTGTTGACGCAGGTGCCCTGGCCGCAGAGGTCCGGGGAGATATGGCACTCGTCGATGTCTGTGGGAGAGGGGTGCAGGCAGGGGAGGAAGTCTGTACACACAAGGGGACACAAGCCAGGGAGAGAGTCTGTCCACACACAAGGATGCACGTGCGCGGGGGGGTGTGTGTCTGTGCACATAAAGGGGCATGGGCAAGTGGTCTGTATCTGTGAACACAGAGGGTGTGAATCGAGGGGTCTGTGTCTGAGGCTGAGAGGGCGTGGGGCTGGGGCTGGGGTCTGTGTCTTACACCACAGGGTGCAGGCCAAGAGTGTCCATGCCTATACACAAGGGCTGTATGGGAGCCCCAAACTTTGGAGCCAGGAAACAGGTACCTCAATTAAACATACGGATGGATGACAGCCCTGAATGTCCTCACAGCCTCTGACCCTTGGAGCCCGAATGTAGCTGAGGGCGCCTTTGCCAACCCTCCTTTTTCAGCCAGTGTCACTGAGACTCAGAGAGGGTGGTGACCTGTTCTGGGCCACACAGCAGCCGGGTGAACGTGACCAGAGACCTGATGGCCCCACCCTAAGGGCGTGGCGGGTTGTACCTGTGCAGTTTTGCTCACGCGCGTCCAAGGCAAAACCCCCGGCGCAGGTGCATTGGAAGCTGCCCACGGTGTTACGGCAAGAGCCTTGTGTGCACAGGCTAGGGAACGCTTTACACTCGTTCACGTCTAGGGGAGAAGCAAGAAGAGTCCTCAGCCTGGGGCGCCACCAGTGGAACCCAAGCCCTCCCTGGTCCTAGCTGCCACCTTTTTCATCCCCTTTTCCAGAACATGTGCAGACGGCCTACCGGCTCCCAAACTCACTCTTCCAGCTTCGTGCCTGCTGGACCCACAACCTCCACCTCCCAGCACACCTCCTCTGCAGGCCCCTCTACCAGCCCACCTCCTGGGCGGCCCCGCCCCAGCGCACCTTTGTAGAAAGGCCGGCCAGACAGGAAATCCTGGCTGGTGAAGCCCAGCCCCCGTGGGCACAGATTGGTGAACTCCAGGGAGCCAGACCCCGGGCATGCCTCGCACTCGGCACCCCACGCCATCCCGATGGAGCAGCAGCAGACGTCCATACGGTACTTGCCGGGCAAGGGGGCCCCACACTCGTCCTCGTCCCAGCGCAAGAAACATGGTTCCAGGCGCATGTCTGCATGGAAAGTCACCCGTGGGGCAGCCACCTGACTATAAAGACGCAGCGGCACCCACCTGACACTACCTTGTCTACAGTCGATGGATGTGTGATGGATTGTGTCATGTCAAAATATATCTGGAAGTCTTAATCCTTGTACTTGTGAATATGATCCAGCTGGAAATAGGGATTTCCTTTTGTTATGTTAATGAGGTCATACTAAAGAGGAAACCAGAAAACCAAACCAGTTGCCATGGAGTTGATTCTGATTCATGGTGACCACATGTGTGTTCATAGTTTTCAGTGGCTGAGTTTTTAGAAGCAGTTTGCAAGGCCTTTCTTCCAAGGTGTCTATAAGCAACAAAGGAACACCAGAAAATAAGAGAGGGGCCACAGAAGGAACTGCTATGGCTGAGATCCTGATGTGAATACTCACCTCCAGAACTGTGACAAAATAATTTTCTGTTCATGAAAGCCACCCACTTTGTGGCATTTTGTTGTGGCAGCCCTAGGAAACTAAGACATCTGGGAAGAGTGAAGTGGGAGGGACTCCCTGCTGTGATGTAATGACATCACACAATGGTATTTTAATATCAACTTACACTGCTATCGTGTTTACAGTGTGCTAGGCGTTGTAAGCTCATCAATTCATTAGTAACATTTAAGCCTCAAAATCACACCAAGGGAACAATATGATTATCACACTTACTTTACAGGCAAGGCTGAGGCACAGAGAGGTTAAGTAACTTGTCGAAGGTCATAGTTAGTAAGAGGTAGACCAGAGTTCAAATCCAGGCCATTTGGCTCCAGATTCCATGTGCTTGCTCATCCCTTGGGAGCTCTGGTAATGTAGTACCAGAAGGCATCTGACTGCTAACCAGAAGGCTGGAGGTTTAAACCCAATAGCTATTCCTGGGAAGGAAGGTTGGGCAACCTACTTCCGTAGTGATACTGCCTCAGAAACCCAAGGAGAGGTTGCTATGAGTTGGGTCTGACTCGACGGCAATGAGTTTGGTTTTTTAGTTTATTAGTCCATTAACCTCCCTCAGTACAATCTGATAATGGTCAAGTCTGCCTTAGCATCAGAGATGAGGGTATAGGACAGGATTTGGCAAATTATGACCTGTGGGCCCATTGTCTGTTTTTCTAAGTAAAGTTTTATCGGCACAGACATGCTCATCCATTTATATGGTGTCTGTGGCTGCTTTTGTGCTACATGGCAGAGCTAAAAGTAGCTGAAACAGAGACTGTCTGGCCCACGGAGCCAAATACATTCACTCTGGCCATTTACAGAATCTACAGTCAATGCCGCTGGAAATAGCAGTCAAGAAATCAAGTGACTAATCACCCTTCGGGCCTGGAATTAAACTCACTCACTCCCCAGGCTTCCAGGTGAGGAGAGACAACACAGGGACGCCAGAGTAGCAGGCTGGAAGAGCAGGAGAAAGGGGAAAAAAGCCTTGAACCCGGACAGAAGAGCAGTCAGCCCCAGGGATACAGGTGAGGAGAGACAACTCAGGGATGCCAGAGTAGCAGGCCAGAAGAGCAGGAGAAAGGGGATCAAAAGCCAGGAAGCCAGACAGAGGAACAGTCAGCCAGGTGGGGGTGACACGAGAGGTCTCCAACAGCAGGACAAACTTGTCTGTCGGTTTGTCCTACTGTGGTGAC